AATGATCAACAAATCAAGAGAACTTATGAGAAAAAGAAAGACTCAGCATTAATGGTAAAAAAAAATCTGGAGCAAAAAAGCAGATTTCAGATTTCAAATTTTCATTTAACTTTTATCAAAAGAGAAAGAACTTGATTTTCTTTATTGGTTCTTTATAAACATTCTTTGTTTTTCCCTGAGCCACATATCTAAGCTAATAATCCGAATCTTGATGAATTGAGCCCAAAGCAGAATTAGACCTAAAATAAGACAAGAATAATGTGACTTTGTCAAGGACACTGGAACAAGAAATGCAATATTTATGATCAGAATCATATCAAAGAAAGTAATTCAAATGCAGAAGGATGTGCATGTATGCTTTCTTTATAGATTATGCAAAAGCTAATGATAATGTACGGTACAAGGATCTATTTGAACTGCCGGGAAAACCAGATCTACTTGGAAAGGATGTTAGAATAATCCAGGACTTATACTACGAGTAAACCACCTGCATACAGATAGAAAATGAATTCACCACAACATGAAGCAAGTACAAAAGTTTAAATATCTAGAAAGTCTTTTAATAGAAGATAGAAATTTCAATTAGCCAAAAATGCAATCCTAAAGCTAAACAAAGTACTAAGGAACAGGACAATTTTGTTAGAACCAAAGAAAAGGGTGCTGGATTGTGATATGATATCCATCCATTTAGAAGACAATCTCTCTACAGATGAATAGAAAACTGGCGACAACAGAAGGATGCTGAGAATTCCATGGATGGAGCAAGTAAACAATAAGTGCGTCTTAAAGAACATCACAACAAAAAGAACACATACTCAGAAGAAGCAAGAAGAATTATTAACCATCAACTACCAGAAGACAGAAAATGTGGTCATCAGCAAGAGAAATAGCCCAAGATGCATGAAGTGTCTTCTCTATAGATCTCTTCAACCTCTACAGCAAGTCTGTCCTAAGGGAGAAGGAAATCCTATCAGGATTTATTTTCAGTGGGTGTAACCATAACAATATAAGACAGGCATTTGATATTGTGCTGATGACAAGACATCCTAGACTGGATAGTTAAAGAAAATGAGAAAAAAAGACTGTCAACTGCAAGAAGATGGAAAGTATGGTCATCAGCAAAAGAGAAATCCCAAGATGAAAGCTACAAATGGAAGATGGCAACGTCAATCAAGTACACCTTGATGAGCTTGTGTAAATGGAATGCAAAACAGGGGACAGGAGGATTAGCAAAAGGAGAAAAACTGCAAAGAGCCACAAGAATAGGAAGTTGGGGAGAGCCATAATGAGATTGGTTGGTTGTTGTTTCTCTCATCTAACGTAATAATTGTCCTTTTTTATTACTTGTGACATTTAGAGAGAGAAAAAAATGACTAACTGTAAAACGAAAGAACATGTGGTTATCAGCAAGAGATAAATCCTGAGATGCAAGCAACAAATTGGAGACATCAAAATCAATCAAGTACACCTACTTGATGAACTTGTGTGAATGGATGGTGGAACAGGAAATAGAAGGCTTAACAAAAGGAGAAAAACTGTAAAGAGCCACAAAAATAGGAAGTTGGGGAGAGCCATGATGAGATTGGTTGGTAGTTGCTTCTCTCAGCTAACATAATAATTGTTCTTTTTTATTACTTGTGAAATTTAAAGCAAGAAGAATGACTAATGATCAACTGCCAGAAGATGGAAAGTGTGGTCACCAGCAAGAGAAAAAGCCCAAGATGTATGTTATGAACTGGAGACGCAGAAGTTTAAATATCTTGAAATGTTTTAACAGAGACTGGAAAATGTGATACTGAGATCTGAAAACTCATTGTATTAGCAAAAGAATAACTCCAAAAGATAAGCATGGGGCTGAGAAATGGAAAAAAATTGTTGGAAGCAAAATGATGAGTGCTGGATTACCATTTAATATCCATCCTCTTATATGGCAGTAAATGCTGGACTATCTCCCCATGGATGAGAAAACTTGAGGCAATAGAAATATGGTTCTACAGAAAGATACTGAAAATTCCATAGATGGATTGAGTAAGCAACAAGGAAGTTGTTGGGGTGCACCCACCTTCTGACTAAGAATGGACTGATCCCTCTACGATATAGGACAGTGCTAGAGAGACCAGAAGAGATAGAGACCAGATAGAGATCTGGAGATCAGGTGACCATTACACTTCCGTCTCTCTACCGGAAGTTACCGTTGGACTTTAGACTCTTGCTAATTGTTATTACTAACCTGTGTTCGTTATTACTAATCACTCTGTTGTTAAATACCTCTTCAAATATACCAGTATTTTTCCCTACATCTGTGTTTGTCTTTATTTGAATACACACACGCGGGAACACTCCCAACATCTCAACAGAAGTCTTAAAGAAAATGGCAACATTTGTACTCAGAATCTGAAATTAGAGAGAATGGTAGAAAAAAGCGAGAAAAAACAACTGACCATCAACTGCCAGAAGAGAGAAAGTGTGGTCATCAGCAAGAGAAAAAGCCTAAGATGTGAATTACAAATTAGAAATGTTGACATCAAACAAATGCAGAAGTTTAAATATCTAGGAAGTGTTTTAATAGAGGATGGAACATGTTACAACAAAATCTGATTGTACATTGGATTATTGAAAAATTCAGTCCAAAAAGCTAAGCAAAAAACTAAGCAACAAGAAAACAAGTTCTGAATCGCTATATGATATAAATCCTCCCGTATGGCAACGAATGCTAGACAATCTCCACAGAGATGAAGAGGAGAGTGGAGGCAACAGCAACATGGTTCTTCAGAGGGATACTAAGAATTCCATGGACAGAGTGAGTAAGCAGGTCTTAAAGAAAATGGCAACAAAAAGAATACCGATACCTAAAATAAGAAAGAGATTAGCTGAAATTTCTTGGACTCATAATGAGGAAAGAGAGCTTGGCAAAAGTAAACACTTAAGAGAAAGGCAGCAGGCCACCTACCTGAAAAGTTTATATGAACAGATGGTGGAACATAGGTTGGGAGGCTTAGCAAAAAGTGCTGCTAAGAGTCATGAAAGATAGGAGGTTGAGACAAGAGAGCCAGGATAAAAACAAAAAAAAAAGAGTACAGAGTTTTTACATTATACCTATCCTTCTATATGAGAGTGAATGCTGGACAATCTTCTCACAGATGAAGAATACAGTTTGAAGCAACAGAAATTTGCTTCTCCAGATGGATGCTGGGAATACTGTAGACTGAACATGTCCACAACAACAAAGTTTTAGAGGCAATAACAGCAAAAAGGACACTTATACTTAACACCAAGAAGAGACAGCTGAAATTTCTGGTGCACATAATGAGGAAAGAGGGCTTGGAAAATTTGATACTCACAGGACAGATTGAAGGTAAGGGGGATAGAGGAAAATAATGCATAACCTAACTGGCAAGCTTGAGTAAATGGATGGTGGAGCAGGGTTTGGGAAAGATGGCAAAAAGCCAAAAGTTGTTAAGAGCTGCAAGGGTTAGGAAGTTGTAGAGAGCCATGATCATCAATGTTCTGAAGGGACAAAGCACATAGTAGTAGTAGTAGTAGTAGTAGTAGTAGTAGCAGAAGAAGAAAAATAATAATTATTATTACCTGATCTGAGTTATTTCACCCTAAGTATGAGAAATCAAATGAGAACACTCTAACCTCATAGAATCTGAAGAAGGCCAAGCATAAGAGCTGAAACATTTTATGACAACCAAGATGAGTAACGCTAATCCAAATAAGAAAGTATATAATAACATTAAGTTTCCATCACTAGTGGTAAAAAATTTGTTTAAGTGAATCTCATTATTATGACTCATTACATATCTCTAAGTTCAAATCCCTGGGTTGGGTATTGTGAAAAGCCATATATGAGTTCCTTCAAATGAACTTTGTACTATTAGACAACTCGGAGAAGTATCAGGTCACAGCTTCATCAACATACAAGTTTCTGTTGTGTTATTCTTAGTAGGTTTTTACAAGATATAGTTGCCAGCCCCAAACATTGCATTCAGAATTTTCCTCAAGGACACATGGCACAGTGGATAAAGGTGTTAGTTAGATCCAGTGACAAGACCCAAAAGAGTGTGAGTTCAATACCCAGTTAAAGCAGTGGGAATTAACAGAGATAACTGATAACTGACATCCATTAAACATGGCACGGGGAACTAGAACAGTCTACCCCAGTGAGCGAAATAAAGGGTTCAGTCTGACATTCCTACCACCTGAAGAAGTCCGGAGCGTACAACAGTCGAAACATTGTAATAAATATGGCAACAAACATGAGGTCAATAGTCCGAATAATGTAAATAGTGTACATAATACCTCATCTCAGAAATATAGACAGATACAGAATTTTCCTTCTTGTAAATTGGTTGTCCAGTCGGTTCTACTATTTAATCTGTAGCTGGTTGAAGTTGAAAAGTCTTCATGCCTTTCCTAAGTGTATTTGTGCAAAAAAAAAAAATGAACATAAAAAAATTGGTTGGAATTTGAACTCAATATGCTGATTTCACTTTCTGTGCCAATAACCACTACACTAAGTGAACATCGATCATATATGAATTAATTAATTCAGAAGAATTAACTGATATATTATATCCTCTTACATGAAAAGTGGAATGAGAACTATCTAACCCCATGAATTGAATAAAGGGCTCAATTCAAAATTTTCACAATATTACTATCTAGAAACAACAGTAGAAGAAAGCTGAAAGGCACAACAGTTAAAACACTGACTATATAATTAGATTGATTTGGTTTTTATGGCTTATCAACCCTTTACAGATTATTTAAAGCCAGAAGATATTTTTATATTGTAAGAGGTTTTTTCTACAGATAATAATGATTTACTGATACAAATCCTACTGATTAACCAATAGCTAGCAGGGGGAGAAGAAGTGAATTAATAATTTTTCCATGGGTATATGCATGTAAGTGAAGATAATGAACCCAACTGGAATTGAAACTTGGCTCTTCAACTTACAATTCTGAGCTGTTACACCACCTGTACATCCAAGCTTACAGCACCTGATATTTCCAAGTAGTCACCCATCTAGGTACTGATCAGTCTCAATGTTGCTTAACTTTAGTGATCATACATGAACTAGTGTTTCAATGTGCTATGACCATAAGCCAACACTGACTATAAAAATCAAGAAGACATTAGTACATAAAATGATAACAACCCATTTAGTCAAAGATCAGTAGAATTGTTTATTCTGAGTTTATCAGTTCCTAATCAAAGTATGACAGGTAATTAAAGGTCTTAATAATTTTAGTATTATCGTAATTGTGGAATAAAAACAGACATATTAAAAGACAATTCATAGCAAAAAGAAACAATTCATGACAAAAAAAGAGGGAGTGTAACAAAATATGCATATTGCCATAAAAACAGCAATGCTGAAGCATACCAGAATTAATAAAACAAAAAAAAAGACAACTAAACCAGTTTATTGGTCCACTGTAATCAGAATAAAGATCAAAGACAAAAATGTATACAACAATTGAAAAATATAGTGCACAAGATAAATGTTATATGAAAGAAAATATAACTTTAAAAGGTTAATTTCCTTAAGGCTCACCACTCATTCATTCTACTAACAGAGAGATGGCTGGCAGGACTTAATGTACACTGATTTCAAAACTTTCAAGTGATACTCAGAATTAGTTCTACTCACCACTGATAACATCCTGGGCTATAAGAGTGGGCACACAGCTTTTAATCAAATATTCAGCTATTGATGAACCTATTACATTTATGCACCTATGTAAACTATTCACCTTTTCCTTATAAATATTGGTTGGTACATGTTGGTTGATCTGTGCTTTCAACCTTTGACTGTTCCTGTCTATATATTCAGCACCGCACTGACATCTAAATTGGTAAATTGGATTATTATTGAAATTATTTGAGCATTGTGACTGCAAGACAATAACCAAACATTATGGTCAGATTAAAAATAAAAAAGACATACATGACAAAGTATGTGAATTAATTTGTAAACTTAAAAGTCAATAATGGTGTTGGGAGTTGCTGAAGAAAGAAAGAAAGAAAGAAAGAAAGAAAGAAAGAAAGAACAAGCGGAAAATGTTCGCCTTTAACAAACAACAAACAATACTTGAAAAAATTGAAAACAAAACTTTGACATAACAGAAAATATAGATTAATAGTAACACATGTTGTAAACAGAATATTGAATAAGACAAGATAATGAACAACTGTTTAATAAAAAAAATGTTGTGGGGAGAGGAAAGAGTAGTGATGAACGAGGCACATAAAAAAATAATCAATAATATTTTTCTATAGAAAAATGTAAAAAGTGCAGATTGCAAATAACAACATGATAATGATTACAAGCATCTTTTAAAATTTTATAAAATTCAGTTATTCAATTTACAAAAATAAACATTAAAAAATTAAATGTTATTATTATTATTGCCATGTACAGAGAAAAAAAGACTTGTGTATCAGAAGAGAGAGAAATTTGAAAAGGGGAGGTAACAATGAAAACGGCTGTAGAATTAATAAAAACTTTCAAAAAAAAAAAAAAAAACGAAAAGATTTTTGTAAATCACATTATAAACATGTCATAACGAATAAATAAATCATTTATTGATAAAAGATGGAATTTTTTTTTTTTTTTAATAGAATCATGGTTTGAATTGTTTTTTGTTTAATGTTTATTATTTGCTATTCTTTGGAAAGTTTGAAGTTAAAAATGAAGAAAAAAATAGCAAAAGTAAAAGAAACCAGAAAATAAAAAGCAACGGACACTGAAATAAAAAGAAAAGACAAAGAACTAAGCAAACATGAAAACAAAACATTTTTTTAAAAATTAAATCTGAAACGAATTAAAATAACTTGAACAAATCTCATACAAAGACTTTATACACATACAGACACACAGACACACATAACTGCTCATTTAATGATGCACACAAATATGACTTGTCTCGTTAGACACACCTTTTCACTTATATAAATATTTTATTATATATTTATACATACATACATACATACATACATACATACATATATATATATATATATATATATATATATATATATATATATATGTCTGTATATATATGCAGAAAATGCTATGTCTGTATACATAAATTAAAACCAACCCTCAAGAACATCAATTACAAACAAGACCATAACATAATGACCATAGCTGAAAATTAGAAATTTGTCTACCTTCCAAGAATTTATGCACCATTTATATTAGCACAAACAAAATTCTTGAAAAACAGTTAACAGATTAACTAAACTTACTTGGAATGAACAATCATTTGGTCAATTTCTAGATATACTAAATCCAAAAAAGAGATCTGTTGTTCACACACAAGAAAAACTATAAAAAAACTTAGTTGACTTGACAGTTATTTTCAATGAAACATGTATTAGAGAGGGACTGCTACTGAAATACACAACTATTCCAGATATAAACTGGATGATAAAAATATTGTTTATATTTAATGGGCACCATTAATTATTTTTAAAAATGAATTTTTTTTTTAAATAATTCACAGAATTATTGATTGATTGCTCCTGCTATATGCCTTGGTATCTAGTACATCATATCAACATGTCTGAAGTCCATGAGGGCAATGTAAGTGTTCCCTGAGTCTGGCTTCTTTGTTCAACTCCTTTCTGCTTTTCATTAATAACCTGGTATATTCTGATCTTTTTTTTTAATCATTTGATCATAAGCAAGGCAATAAAGCCACTAAGACACAAGTGGTTACTGGGTGTGAAAGAATAAAAAAAAAGAAAAACATTATTAAGAAATGAGAAGAAGAAAAATCAAGAAGACAGTAGATAGTGATTGACATTACATTTAAATTTTTGAATATCATAGTTGCAAGAGGGTGGAAGAGAGTTCTGCAAAGAAGCAGTGCAAGAAAATAAATTATTAGCATACAACTTAGAGTTACATCTAGCCAATTCAACAATAAAATGATGAGACCATGTTGCCAATCTAGTACTGCACTTAAATTAATAAAGTCCGGGTACCACAGAGGAAAGTTTTATTTATTCTGTTTAATACAGAAATGTGGCACATGGCCGAAAAGGGGATTGGGAAAAGGACAGTCTTCTTCTCTCTTAACTATAACTTAGCTAGCTGCAAACACTGACCCAATCGTATGAACAATATTCCTTACACCAAAACAACACATTCATATGTATGTTTCTCACTACAACCATCATAATACCTCTTTGTCTCTATGAAAATACTAACTAGTACCCATATTTACAATTCATTGTCTGTGGTGGGAGGGGAATAAAACAACAATTCTAAAAACTAACCCCAATGAGTATTTACAGTATGAATACAAAAAACTATTTACAAAAAACTAAAGAAAATAAGAATAGTAATAACCCCACCCCCACCCCCCAGAGGAAAGTTCAGCCAAACAATTACAATGAAAGTTTTTATAGAAAAGGCTCTATTGTTACAGCAGTGGGAAAGTGACTGAATCTGAAATGCCATGTCAGGATCTTTTGTGAATATCTATACAGATGATACAACAGTATATGGGTACATCTCTGAAGATTTGCTGACCAGAGCCCAACAGCTGATCTCTACTCTGACCTATACCTGTAACAACTCATTAGTGGGGAAAAACTAACTGGTTGAATTCAATAGTGCAATAAACAAACTTGTAACATTCCATCATCACTGAGCACATCCTGAATTCTTACTTAGTGCAGTGAATGAGTTGTCTCTCAAGAAGGTCCTTTGCCTTGAAGCTCAACCTAGACATCAAGTGGAATTTATATATATGATCAGTTGTTAAAGATGCTAGGAAAATGGTCCAATCTCACTGAGTAGCTGACTCTTGATATGTTCTACCTTTACCAGATCCAAATCAGGCTGAAAATGAAATATTGCTGCCATATCTGGGCTGAAGTTGCCCAGTCTCCTTTTTCAAGCCATGAGAGAGTTCAATCATGTCTATGCAGCCTTGTGGGTGATGAACATTGCAAGCTTCTCACTACTCTATCACTGTTTTCATGGAAAAAGCTCAAACAAGTTACCTTCCTTAATCCCACCAGTTCTAACCTTCACAGCTAAAACCCAACATACTTCTTTTCATGAATCACTACCTCGTAGAATCAACTCCCAAGAAGATGCTTCCATGACCACTACAATCTGAACCAGTTCAATTCTAGGATCAACCATTTATATTTCCCACATATCTTCTTACTCTTTCTTGTCACATAAAAACTCCTTCAGTAACTCTACCTTGAGTAGCTTTTGGGTCTTTCATAAGGTGAACATTATAAAATATATATATTACATACAACAGAAATCCAAATTTACCTCATTTGAATAGCTATTTCAACCAACAATGAAAACATAGGACTTAGTTCAAATAGCTATTTGAATGAGGTAAATTTGGATTTCTATTCTGTGTAATTTATATGCTCTGTTAAAAAAAATACATTGAGCTCTTTTTGTGAATCAGTTTTAATATTTTATATTATTAGGATTCACTTGGATTATATACCAACAGATTATTATTATTATTATTATTATTATTATTATATATATATATATTTTTTTTTTCTAAAGAAATAATGGATTTTTTATTTATTAGTCTGATAGATTTTATCACTTATATGTTATTTTTAGTGGATACCCATATTTGAGTAGATGTTCTATTTATTTATTAAACTGTATATTTATTTATTTTCATCGAAAGAGCCAGGTAAACCTACCTAGGTTTCACCTAAACAGATTGTCAGTGTAAAACTGACGATCCGCTTAGTGAAACCTAGGTAGGCTTACCTGGCTCTTTAGATTTATATATATATATATAATATATGTGATGAAATGTATTTTAAAGGTATGTTATATTTATTACGTAAAAATTTATGCTATATTATGTTTATAGGGTAAATTATGCTATATTTATAGTGTAAAATCACTCAATATTGGGATAGAGCATGTATAGATATAAACCGTGTGAGCAAAGAGTTTCAACACTGAATGGTAACAGACTAATTTCATTTAGGATGGCTTGAAAGTTGTGTGCAAGTATGAGATGATTGCTTATTTCCTTGAACTTTACACAAAGTCTTTTATCTATATATATTTCCTACTATTCAAAATATTTT